CTACACACCTGCACTGTCCCAGGAGAGGATCTGGTGAACAGAAATTTGTTAGGTTTAGAAGAGAGAGAGTCCCTGTAAACTTTTCACATGGTAACTAGATGTAACTCATAATGCTTTGACTAGTTAGACTATAATGAGACTATAATTTTCAAACCTTTTTATGGGTCTGCAAAGAAAACCCCTATCTGTCTGATTTAGTAACAACCTTTTCCTATTTTTCTGCATGATGACTAAAAGAAGCCAGTAAGTTTGTGTTCTGAATGCTCAACCCTTTGTTTACACAGCTGGGAAACATAGAAGCTCTACTTTCTACACATATTGAAGGACCAGCATTAGCATGTGGAGCAGCTCTGATTTGTTGCCCTTCCCCGTGGCACAGGGGAAAGGCAGTCAATCAAAAGGATTTTCCCCTAAACAAGGATGTTCTGGGCCTATCCCTCAGAAAGAATCTGAAAACACATAGTCTGTGGACAAAACATTAGATTTGGCGGGCCAAGATGCATAAGGAACAGTGATGTGCATCCATATTAAATGTGTGTTCAGAAGGAACTGGGTTAAATGTGGAGTGGAGTAAATTATCTGGAGAATGAGTTTGGTGGTGATGGTGGTGGAATGAAAGTGGATGTGGTGGAATTCACGAAGGTGAGAAATATACAATGTGCATGTGTGAAATAATGTAATCTGAGGAGTGAGTAGGAATGGGGAGGGCAGAGGGCTGGGATGGTGGGAAGGGCTGAGGTGCCAGAGGCAGGCTCAGGCTGGAAGATTTATGTGTGAGACTCCCGGCCAGCAGCCCAGCATGTTTCTCAGGCAGGAGCCTGACTTGCCCCTGCACAAGCTGCAGAATCTGAGGGACGGGGAGAGGGCTGCTTCACATGCTGCCTGTTCTTGAAACAGGCAGCTCCCATTGGCCATAAACTGGCCAATGGATTGTGTTGGGGGCAAGAACACCACTCCCCCCTCCTCCCTGCTACAGTTTGTGAAACAGAAATGGCCTGGCAGCCGCTTTTCTGAGTGGCGTGTGAAGGTGGGGAAGCAGGGGAGTCTGCCTGAGGCTCTTTGCTGCATCTACAAGCCAGATCCAGTGGCTTGGTGGGCTGGATCCAGCCCACAGAAGGTGTTTTGCCCAAATCTGATCTAGATCATCCCTGACATATGCCATCTTACCTGTACTTAAATATATCCAATGATGGAGATTCCTTAACCTCCCTAGGCAATTTATTCCATTGCTTAACTACCCTGACAGCTAAGAAGTTTTTCCTAATGTCCAACTAAAACTCCCTTCATGCAGTTTAAGCCCATTGCTTCTTGTTCTATCATCAGAAGTTAAGGAGGACAATTTTTCTTTCCCCTCCTTGTAAGGCCCTTTTAGGTACTTGAAAACTGTTATCGTTCCCCCTCTCAGACTTTTCTTTTCCAAAATAAACAAATCTAGTTCTTTCAGACTTCCCTCACAGATCATATTTTTGAGACCTTTAATCATTTTTGTTGTTCTCCTCTGGACCTGAAATTAGTCAAATGGGATGTTGTCCAACTCTTCCGAAAAACTGATCTCTGGTTTACAATAAGCACAAGATTCATCCCAAAGGGATTCCCTCCCCCCACAAGTTTGTCTGATATTAAGGATTTACAATGAAAATGATTCTTCAGTCATAACCGCATTGCCACTGATAGACTGATAGAACAAAATGTTTTTGTATCCTGCTTAACAGGCCCAGTTGTGTAAGAGAATACACTCCACGTAGATGGTGCTAAGTGCTTTCAACTCCTCAGGGATGGTCTCCACTGAAATATTGAGTTGGGATAGCTATGTCTCTCAGGGAAAAATCCACTTTGGGTATGTCTGCACTAGCCCCCTAGTCCGAACTAGGGAGGCTAATGTAGGCATTTGAAGTTGCCTAAATTCCATGACGTGTAACAGTTAATTCAAACTAAGGACTTTGTTCGAGTTAACGTTTGATTGCTGCGTGTAGCCGCAGGCACTTAGTTCAGACTAAGGGGATTTAAAAATGGCGCCCGGATGGGAAGATGCAAATAAAGCCCGGGATATTTAAATCCCGGGCTTCATTTGCAACTTCGAATGCCTACATTAGCCTCCCTAGTTCGAACTAGGGGGCTAGTGTAGACATACCCTTCCTGAGTAACATAGTTAAATTGTCTCTTCTGCCAGTGTAGACAGTGGTAGAATAATGGGAGAATCCTTCTGTCAACCTAGCTGATGCCTCTTGTGGAGGAGGATTAACTGCAGTGGTGTGAAAATCTCATTGCTGTAATGAGCATTTACCCTGAAGTGCTATCGCATTTTAAGTGTAGCAAGAGTCAGTTCTCAATATCTTGCTGGATTTTTCCATTGGGCCCAAAGACAGCAACATTGGGCCCATAATGTTTGGTTATGGGTCATGCTACTGCAAGGTGCTGAAAAGCTTGAAATAAGTTAATAGAAGTTGAGTAGCCATAGTTATTTGCATTGAAGTATTTCAAAGGGACGTTGTTAAGGGCCCAAAAGCAAACAATTCCGCTGTGTAGGAAAAATAGAAAATATGGCAAAAGACCAGCTTGGCTTAACAAGGAGATCTTGCATGATCTCAAAATAAAAAAGGAGTCATATAAAAAATGGAAACTAGGACAAATAACAAAGGATGAATATAGGCAAGCAACACGGGAATGCAGGGGCAAGATTAGAAAGGCAAAGGCACAAAATGAGATCAAACTAGCTACAGGCATAAAGGGAAACAAGAAGACCTTTTATAAATACATTAAAAGCAAGAGGAAGACCAAGGACAGGGTAGGCCCACTGCTCAGTGAGGAGGGAGAAGCAGTAACAGGAAACTTGGAAATGGCAGAGATGCTCAATGACTTCTTTGTTTCAGTCTGCACCGAGAAGTCTGATGAAGAAATGCCGAACAGTGAATGCTAGTGGGAAGGGGGTAGGTTTAGAAGATAAAATAAAAAAATAAGTTAAAAATCACCTAGAAAAGTTAGATGTCTGCAAGTCACCAGGTCCTGATTAAATGCATCCTAGAATACTCCAGGAGCTGATAGAGGTGGTATCTGAGCCTTTAACTATCATCTTTGGAAAATCATGGAAGACAGGAGAGATTCCAGAAGA